ACATAGGCGTGTCTACGGAGGGGCCAGGGTGGGCATTTGCCCCTCCGGTGAACTCTGGTGAGATGGTAGCTCGATGAAATAATATGTTAATAATAATATACAACATATTCTATGTTTTATTATTCATGAAGTACAATTCGATTGATATTATAATTTACCTAGATAAATAATTTAAACTGATCGTAGGGGACAGCAGCTATGATAATAGTATAATTTGGTACGAGAACAGTGTTCGTTTACCATTTTATAAATATTACCTATCTTATTATAGATTTACCACTCAATACAGTGTACTGTCGCAGGTCACCATTATGTTATACGTTGTATTTTATACATTTGTCTTACCTACATAGTATATAGTATATTATAATACTATAATATAATAATAGGTACTATAAAACTTTATTCTTAGTATCAAAACTTATATTAATTTTCCGTTATGGAATTAAGTGTTACAAACATAGGCGTGCGCACGGGGGGTGCCGGGTATGCCTGGGCACCCCCAGACATTTTGTAATTGGGTCCCTTAAGTCTCAGAGGAAAGAGCTAATATTTAGACTGATGTTCTTAAAATAAAATATAACTTTTTCTAAAATTTATGGAAATAAAATTAAATAATGTTTCGTAATAAAATTAAAATAAACTGTAAATATATTTTAAGAAATAGATATTCGATTTAAATAATAAGAGTTCTTGGGGGCCTAATATACGTAACACCGTGTGATATAATTCCATGCAATTAGATGCGATAAGAGCCATTATTTTTCGAACCATGGAGTTATTTTTAAACTTTATGTGATGTGGAAAATAAACACGGCGAGTTGATATCTGACATATTATGTTATATCTGTATATAAACATGGAATATAAAACTATTAGTAGTTAGTATGCGATACGTGACACTGAGAGCAAACAAAGTGACAACCATTTAATATTGAAAATGAAGAGGCAAAATACATGTATTACAGACTTTTTCAAAAAGTCTTCTTCCAAAATATCTAAATCAATAATTGATAACAACCAAGGTAATTACTATGTAATTAAAATAATTTAGTTTCCCCTAGCCTATATTTTGATTATATTTTATGCGACATGAATTAAGCGTCCGAGTTTGTTCATGACCGATAACGTCTATATATATTTTGCTTAATAATGATCGAGGGTGTGGACGGGGGTTTGTAAGATTTTATTATGCGTAAAGTTTATTATTTTTAGTGTTTATTATGTATTAATAGTGGGCAATGACAATAACAAAGACGTTGACGACCCAGGTGTCCCCGTGACTAGTAAGTGTAAACCTAACATTTATAAAGTAATTTAATATCAAATTAATAAATTGAATACATTATTTTCATAACAATTACTATTGTAATATAAACGATTGGTTATATTTTCATTAGTTTGAATGCATAATAATTATTATAAAACTGAGACCACAAAAAAAACTATTTATGGTAAATTATAATTATTAATTAGGGAACAAATTTATATGTATAAGAAATGTTCATGATTTAAATCATTTTTATTAAAATGATGCTACTTCGATTTTTCATAGGTATTTTGATATAGTTAATTACATATTTTTACATATTCATTTAGCAGTTTTAAAAATATTTGAGACTTAGTAGGCAACATTTAACATTCGATAATTTAAAATAAATTGTAATTATTTAGTACAACAAATAATTTTGATAATTTAATAATTATATAAAATGTTTTTTTTTTTAATTACATTTTTTTCCCACATATTTTTATGTTTTTAGCACATATTTTATAAATTATACTTTCATATTTATGTACATAGTTCTGTATTTTTATTACATATAAATCTGTTCTCTAATAATTATAATCAATAACTGTAAACTATTAATAATAATATGATTATCAATTATCATTATTAAATATTATTTTTTGAGATACTCAAAATAATTGTAATAGCATAGGTGAAGTTAAAAATGAAATACATATTAATTCTTATAAAGCTGAGACCACAGAAAAAAATATTACTGGTAAATTATAGTCAATAACTGTAAATAATTCAAAATAATATGATTATCAATTATCATTATTAAATATTATTTTTTCAGATACTCGAAGTCATAATAACGCAGATGATGGTCTAAATGAAATTTATATTAGTTCTAATATGACTTTGAAAACCGAAGAGAATATAATTGGTAAATTATAATCAATAACAATAAATTATTAATAATATTAATATTAATTATTATTTTTCTTTCAGGTACTCAAAATGATGATAGTCCAGATGAAGTTCTGAATGAAATGCATATTTATTCTAATGAATTAATTGGTAAAACTTCATACATAAACTATTTAAAAACTTATTATTTTCCTTCTAAGTTATACCTAATTAATGGAAAATTTAAACTCAAATATTTTGATAGCTTTTTAAAAGTTAAATTTTGTTCATACATTAGAGTGAACATCTATTTGGCGTACATTTTTATATAAAAAGTTTTTAATGATAAATATATTATTTAGATCCTGATGATCCAGTTAATGTATTACCTGTATATCAATTGGAACGTAGAGAAAAAATTAAGCGAGGACCATTTCAACCAAAATTAAAATGCTACCCTAAAGTTCAGTTTGGAAAATCATATAGAAGCTTCAAAAAAGATTGGTTTCAAGAATTTAGTTGGTTAGAATACAGTGTAAAATTAAACAAGGCATTTTGTTTTACTTGCCGCATGTTTAATCACTCTTCAGGAATAAATGTTGGACACTCGGAAGAGGCTTATACAAAAATTGGGTTTGGTAATTGGAAAGCCGCATTAGAAAAATTTAGAGCCCATCAATGTTCAAAAGTTCACTTAAATAGTACTACATCACTGGCTAATTTTATAAATTCAAAGCCAATAGATATTGTTTTAGATGACAATAGAGAGATTGCATTGTCCCAGAAAGAACAACAAAAATTAAAAAATAGAGAAGTTTTGAAGCGTTTAATAGATGTTACCCTTTGTCTTGGAATTGGAGGACGACCATTTCGTGGTCATGACGAAAGAGATAATAGTTACCATAAAGGTTTATTTAAAGACATTATTGCTCTTTTAACCAAATATGACCCTGTTCTTAAAACACATATGGAAAGTGGGCCACGCAATGCTACTTATTGTAGTAACCTTATTCAAAATGATCTTATCCAGTCTATTAGTCATGTAATAAGAAGACAATTTAAAGATAAAATAAATAATGAAAAAGTATCAATTATTGCCGATGAGACGAGCGATATTGGTCACCATGAACAGTTATCAGTTGTTATAAGATATTTTGATAAAATTATAAATTGCCCTGTTGAACACTTTGTTTGTATGAAAAGAGTATTATCAGTTGATGCTCAGAGTATTTTTAATGTATTATCTGATGTTATTAAAGAGTATGATATTAAATGGGAAAATATTATTTCCATGTGTTTTGATGGAGCTGCATCTATGTCAGGATGTACATCTGGGGTTCTGGCAAAATTTTAACAAAAAAATGATAAATCTTTTTTTGTTCATTGTTATGGCCACTGTTTAAATCTTATTTTAGTTGATTCTATTGGAAGCCATAATAGAGTAACATTTAACTTTTATGGAGTTATTCAAATGGTATACAGTTTTATTGAATCAAGTTGTACCAGGCATGCAGTTTTAGAGAAAATTGCTTCTATCACTGAAATAAAACTTAAGACATTAAAATCACTTTCAAATACAAGATGGGCATGTCGTTCTGAAGCTGTCAATGCTATAAGAGATAACTATGACGTTTTGTTAAAAGCAATTAAAGAAATAAGTGATTCTTCTAAACATGCAGATGTTAGAGTTAAAGGGATGAGTATTTTTAATCAATTAAAAACCTTTGAATTTATATTTGCTATGGAAATGTTACATCCTATATTATCTTTAATTCTCAAAGTAAGTACATGTTTACAAAATCCAAGTTTAAATTTGTTATCTGCTGTGCAAATTGTTGAATCGTTAAAAAAAAACCTTGGAAAAATGCGAAATGAAGAGTTAGAATTTAAACAATTATATACTAAAGCTATTCAAATTTGTAATTCAAATAACATTCCTATACCAACAGTTAAAAATAGAAAAATATCTTCTAGGATTGAAAAAAATCCATCATCACAATATTTTATCAATACTAAAGAAGAGGATATAAAAATTACAGTATATTTACCAATGTTGGATAATATGTTAAGTGGTATTGAAGTAAGATTTCATCAAGAAACATTAGCCATGATAACGATGATTGATCGATTAATTAAAATGGAAAATAGTAAAGATGATATTTTAAAACTGGCTCAAATATTTTTTTTGGATTCAAATTCTTTAGAAGTAGAAATCAAACTTCTAAAGCAAACAACAACTGCACCCAAAGGAAATAATGTTAAATGTGAGGAATGGATCAAATAGTTAATAGATTCAGATAGAAAAAATATATTTTGTAATTTTTTTCAAGCTCTGCAGTTATTTGTAACCATTCCTGTCACGAGTTGCTCGTGTGAACGTACTTTTTGAAAATTGAGTTTAATAAAAACGAAGCTGAGAAATAAAATGAAACAGGAACGATTAGATGGATTACTGACAATGTTTATAGAACAAGAATTGGCATATAATATTGACATGGATCAAGTTATTGACACATTTAAACATTTAAAATCACACAATAGACGAATGGAATTATAAAAAATTGTCATTTTAATAAACATACTAAATAATTTATATATTAAATAATCATATATTCTTTACATTTTCTGTTTTATACCCTCATAAGATAATTTTTAAGAGTTACAAGTTAATTGTATAATTCAATATGCCTCATCCTCAATTTACATTGTTTAAAATAATTTCCGGATGACATGTCCCTTCGTTCCATGTATGCCCCTCCGGTCCAAAATGTCTGGACACGCCTATGCTTAGGGCGTCAGTAATTGATATTATTATATGAACAGCATCGCGATCACTCAACTTACATTTATCTAATGTAGCGAGTAGTTTAGGAGTCATAAAATCTCTTGATCCTCTCTGTTTCTTACTACATGATGAACTTGGTAGACTTGGTATTATGTCTTCTTCTTCTATATCAACCTCTTCTTCAGTTGAATTGTTATCAGTATTGAAATCTATTTGTACGGTGTGATCTAAATAAATTAAATTTAAATATACTTTTAATAAATAAAAAATACTAAATAGTAGTTTATAATATGTTATTTAAATTATAAATTTATCAATATTACTTACCTAATTGTTCAATTTTTATTTTCGCTCTTTTTCGACGTTTTTCGTTTTTTTGTAAATTGACATAGGCCCTGTTTTCTTTTTTTGCCAAATTTCTATCAGTTCCCAACATGCATCCCGGTCTTCCTTTTTCTCTTTGCATTAGTAAAAATTTTTTATCTTCCTCAATTTTCATCATACTTAATGCATTTGAATGAGATACATCTAATAAGTTATTTAATTTTTCCTTGAACTCACTGACATTTATAGTATTTTTTTCTGATGCTCTTTTAGCCGATTTTTGTAACTCTCGTAAGTTTTGATATAATTTTTCCAATTTTAAATTACAATGCTGCTCATCTCGAACTTGTATTCTCGGTTTTTGCCAAAATAGTACTATTTCTTTATATACCAATCTTGCTCTTTCCCGCAAATTTAATTTTACATGTCTCAAATTATAAAATAGCACACTCAAAACTTGTTTGATAGATGGTAACTTACTGCCAACGATTTGGTTGTTCACATTTTCAACTAAATATACTTCATCATGCGTACGTAGAACAATATGTGATGACGATGAAGCCATTTTATAATAAATATTCAATATTAAATTAAAGAACTATGCACTTTTTTTCAAAATATAATTCGCAAATAAAATTTAAAGCATTTATGCTATACGGTATCGAGATTTATGAACATAGAACAATTAACAGAGCATAAATAGACAATAATGCACGATGTGACAGTGTGTAATAACTGAATAAGAAAAGCTCGATAAGAAATATACAAATATAGATAAGATATAATTTAATCTTCGAGCGGGCGCGTGGACGGTTATTACACAAATATAACTGTAAAATTAGCTTTAGTACATGCATTAGTGTTAAACAATTTTATTTTATTTCATCTTTGAAGATTAATAAGTATGTTATCGTAAAGACAATCATATAGAGAATATATGGATAATTTCGATTTTTTTTTTTCAGAAAAAGGTAATAATTTTTATTTTATTCTAATTTTCACAGAAAATAATAAATTTACGAAAAATGTTGTCTAAACATTTTTTATAGAGAATATCTGAATCTACAATTTAGGTTCTATATAATTTCATGCTAAATGCAATATATAATGAATTAAATCAGAATAACCCTAAAACTACCCTATTTGGTGAATATTCAACCCTCTTGCGGCACCTGAAGGGGATTATTAATCATCACCAAATTTTACCCACAAAACTTTTGTATGGTAATGAAAAAATTGGGAGGGTGAGAAATTAAAAATTTGAAAGTTCATAAATAAGGGCCACCCTAATATACATATGTATGTTAATATTTAGTCGCCTCAGTCAAAATTGAATTTCAAAACAACCACTGGGAAATAGTTTTAAATATTATTTCAAAGTTAAAAATTGTTTGCACTCCCTTCCCCATCCAGCTGGAACCCGATTGAGCACGATTGATCTTTTTCGTACCTCGATTGAGCACGGTGGCAACCAAACAATAGGAACCAAAAAATAACCGTTGCCACTTTGTACCGTAAAATATTATTCGGTGCACCGTATTACTGTGTTTTCAAGATTTTATTATAATTATTATGTAATTTAATTTTAGATTTGTAAAGATTATTTCATAATTTAAAATTTTTATGGCTCAGGTTTCCTAAAAGAAATAACTCTCTAATAGAAAAACGACAAGACATCTTTTTTTTCGCATTTTTTATATTGTTAGTGTATAGAGCTCGGTGCGCCCATATTATTATTACAAAATAAAATACATTTAAATATAATTATTTATAATTAAAAATCTTTTATTGGATTTTAATCACATGTTATAATTACATTTTTTTTTTTTGTTGAAAAATAGCACTCATACGATCATGAATAAGGTAAAAATTTAAATTGTTTTCCCTAAATACCTATTTCCAATTTTCAATAAGTATTTAAGAAGGTTGTCAGCATTTTTAAATTCAGAGTACTCACGATAAGCCTTTATAGCGGTATTTTTAACGTACGGTAAAGTCAAGGTGCATGCGACAGTTTTCAAAATATCGCGCCATAATTTTACTGCGCGACACTCGTGTGTTGTGCTCTATTCATTTTAATGTACTTTACCAAAACGCGCAGTAAAATTACGGCGTGGTAAAATAACGCTAGTGTGTTACCAGCCTAATAGTTTTCAATCTGACAACGTTGTACACAATATATTTTTTTTACCGTGCTCAATCGGGTCGTCAAAAATGTCGGCCGATAACGACCGTGCTCAATCGGGTATTACCCTCCCCCCATCCATCATGCATGTCATCGGGGAATAGTAAACTCCTACAAATGTAATTTAAACTCCTACAAAAAATAGTGTTAACTCCTATAAAAGATAATGTTAACTCCTATAAAAATTAATACCGCTCGTATTGCTGTAAAAAATATCAGTCTTGCAATATATTAACAAATAAAATAAAAATTGATTGAAAAATATAATAAAAATGTTAATAAAACAATAGTCAAAATCACATATGTTTAAAATAAAATTTTTTGAAAAAAATAATAAAAAATTCAATAAAACAATACTAAGTTATAATCATTTACGTATATTTTTATGGCATACTTTGGAGATAAACTCTAAATGTCAAATTTCTCTTCGAATATATTTATCTTTTTGATTAAATATAAATTGATATTTAGAAATAGTTTTTGTCTGTCTGCGTTGTATTGTATGACTGCTTCTAATTTTAATGTATGTTTCGGTCTGAATATCTATCAAAACTTTCACGAATAAATGGAGATTTGGATGATGATGATAAAAACTACTATTAAATCTTAGATGAAATGATTCACATGCATTAGTAGTGTCATTAGAAGACCACAATTTTGGAGGAAATAATGAAAATTTCAAAATCAAGAATTTAAGAACCCAATTTTGTAAAAGAAAAAATTATTTTTAGGAGATTACAATATCTTTGATTTTCAGATAAAAATTTTAAAAGGTTATTAGTGTAGGAGTTTACATTTAATGATGATTCAGGTAAAAAGGTTATTCGTGTAGAAGTTTACATTTGGGTCGTGTCATCTACCTGTGTATATAATGCAGGGCTTCAAACCGGTTAAAACCGTTTTTTTTTTTATTAACCGGTTTTATTGAAAAATGTGTATGAAGGAAACATAAATGGAACCACAATTACTAATTTTAATAATCAAAAAAGAAATAGTTAACCAAAAAAATATTTTTCGTTCTCGAACGGAAATAAATACATTTTTAGTTACGAAAAATAATTAATATTTAATTTTAGTTTTTTCACATTTTGTTAAGTTGATCAACCTGTTTTGTTTGACAAAAGACAGATAAAAATTGAACAGTTGGTGAGTGAGACTACTGGTCATAACCCCACACTACTGTAGATAATACGTGAACACGATTAATGACAACCAGAAACCACATTGTTTATTGTTACAATACTGCTTTTAATGGATGAATATCAAATATTTGTAAATTTTTTCAACATTTTGAATTAATATGGTTTTTCTTTTTTGTCTTACTCGATAATAAATATTGGAATTATGTTGTTCATTATGTGTGTTAGTATATTCAATATTGTTGTGGTGACGTAAACAACGCACTGCGAATCGTCCAAGTTGTTTACAATATTGTCAGTGGATAAAGGGAAATCCCATGTTTTAGAATATGCGATAATTATCTCGTTAAGGTAATTTCGAGAATGTTCTAGACAATCGACGCCGATATATATATACCGGCTGGCCTGACGCTCATTCAATCAGTCCGTGAATACAATCCGCGACACACCGTGTATTACACTCCGCGATATATTCGGCAATTCCTCCGCAATTGTAACGCGTATCGATATTTGTACATACATATTTATATAATATAGTGTCTATTTTAATTAAATTAAATTGTGAGTGATTTTTATCACCACATTGTAATAAAAACTTAAAAATGTGTATCATATTATTATTATATAAGCATATGGCGGAGGAGGATGTCGTACCTTCTCGTGGTCTTCCCTGTAAGTAGTGCTGTTACCCATTCAAAGTATACGTCCTTATATCAATACCTGTGAACATATACGATGATAGCACGAAACAAAACGTCATCAAACCGGCGGCCAAACGCTCTCGGGCTTCCTGGCTTTATCGGCTAAAACATCCTTTTTCAGGGCTACCCCCATAAAAAAAAAAGTAAATATATATAAATATTATTTATTGTATATTAATATATGATCTCTGAAATAATATCAATATACGGCCTCTGAAGCTGAAAAAAAAATATATAATTGTTTAAATTATGAACTTATTTTAAGAATATCTCACGATAGTTGAATTTTCTAATTAATAATTTAATAAAATAATTAAACTATTTCATAATCATGACAATGAATTGTCTGAGGTATAAAATTGTTATAAAAAAATATAATTTTTTAAAAGAACAAAATTAACCGGTTTTATTACATTGGAAACCGGTTTTAAAAAACTATAAAATATAAAATCAATATTAATCAGTTTTTAAAACCAAATAAAATGGTAGATTAACTAAAACCATTAACCACAAAAAATCATTATGGTTTGAAGCCCTGATATAACGTAGATAAACCGTTTCCACTTTTGTTCCGAATTTATATTTTCAGTAGAATAAATCAAAAATATAATTGAAAAATCATTGATGTGTCATTTGATATTAAATTAGAATACATAAAATACAAATTGTATGTGTATGTTACAACAATTGCTAGCTCAAGGAAGAACAATAAAACAAATGTATTTCACTTAGTTATTGTCACATAGTTTACACTAGTTGCGTGTGTAAAATGCATAATCAACATTTTATAAGATCTTGAGTGATATAAGTTGAACAATTTAAAGGTTGTAGTGGGTTGGTAGTAAATACCAACTAAAAATTTTTGAAACTTTGTGTGTTTAAAAACAACTAAGGTAAAAGAAACTAAAATATGTCTCTATGTAGATGAATTCATATTATAATAATGAGCACAATAGTACGTCAAAGAAAACGTTTTATTTAAAAAAGTTCACTAATGATATAAAAAAATATTAAAAATTGGTAAAAAGTATTCTTTCTTTTACAGTGTTTCCAAACTCTTATTTGAAAAATAATATTTTGCTTGAAATTAACTTTTTAACATCTTACTAAGTAAATAATAACTGAAATTGGATACTTAGTCTATGAATATTTTCGGTGGGTATGACGTCGTAGTTTGATTTTCATCCAAACATTTTTATATGACCTTCTATTATTTTAAGTATATTACACTTGGAAATATAAGAGTTAAAATGTTCTATACTAACATAAAAATAATTATCCATAAAAATCTGTTTTTGTTTTTAATGTTAAAAAAGTATAAAATATAATCAGATATGTGCAGTGGCGTATATAGGAATTAATTTGGGGGGGGGGTTATGAAAAAATATATACTAAATGAAGGTTATAAATTAACTTATTTTTAATAACTATGAAAATTAGAATACATAAATTTAATTACAGGACAAAGTCTAATTTTCGAGGTAGATTTGCAAAATTATTTATCACTTCTTCAGTGTTTATTGAAATACTTCGATGAATT